TAGTTGCGTCGCCTCCTTTTTGCAGGCGGCTCAACTCCCTCTCTATCATTCAGTCTATTAATTAAGCACAAGTAATTTTTACTTATCTTCTTATCAATTTTCCTTACATTCAATGTCTTGCCTAGTCGGTTTATTTCGATGGCTTCTCTACTGTTACATTTATCCGCAACCATACCATAATCAGCAAAACGACAAGTTTGAGACCATTCAATCTCGTGCCCCGTTTCTGGCCTGTGCTCGGCCAGCTCCGATATTTGTACCCAACAGCCTTTACACGCGATTTTGTGCTCACCCACCCTTTGCCGAATTGGACGACAAGTCCCTCCAACATAAAAGCGCCCACATGAACACGTTATTTTGTAGCAACCCGATCTGAATAATAGGTCAACTTTCTTTCTAAAAGTGGTTATAACTGAAGTAAATGTCGTAGTTTCCCTGAAGACAGTTTTTATTCTTCACTTCCTTACTTGTTCACCTATCATTTTAGAGAACGCTCGAATGTAAATACAAAACATGAGAAAAGGTCTCCTCACCTCTCCTTACATATTCACCATTCAAAAAGCTATTCTTTATTAATCTAATGTTATTTTCAATCAAGCCTAGGAGATAGTTATTCTCAAGAAATATTATTTTCACAATGATTTCTAACGGCTAGTCTTATGCTCCGGACAAACATAGATGTTAAACTCCAACATTTGTTATGTAACTATGATTAGAGAAGAAGATAAGCATAAAGCCAGCATGTGTTGGCTTTCTATATACATCCCTGCTTAACTGTTTAACAAAGAGATCTAAAACGGGTAAATTATTGTTTATCTCCATCTGCATTGTCAACTTTATATTGTAATCAATATGGTTAATTAAAAACAGGAAATTACATAACTATCCTTGCCATGATGTTATATGGCAAAGTAGTCATCCATGCATCTAACAGTTTGGGTGTCAATCTTACCTCTTCCATGAAGTGTTCCTCCATTCTTGACATTTAATTATTAGCTGAAATGGGAGTCAAGCAAGTTCACGCTGCTAGGCCTTGCACCTGTTCATAAACCTTATCATTAAAGGTAAAGTATGTGCTGCTCATGAATAGATTAAGAAGCCTTAAGAATGAGCTTTTGCTCAGGTTTGCTTCCCAAATACTTTCTGGATGCTCATCTAGACTGAATATTCATGCTTCAATAGCTTTATGAACTGGGATGTTAGTATGCATTGATACCACATCAAGACTAACCAAAAGATCCTCCTCTTTAATACCCTGTCGATCTAGCAATCTAACAAATTCATATGAATTCTTCGCTAAATATTTCCTTAGCTGTCCACATAAAAAACGTGAAATCCTATTCCTCCCAGGTCCCTTATTATTAACAATCAATCTAAAAAGGAACGCCTTACTTATGTATTTTTGGAAGGCCATAAGCCGAAGGTGCCCTAGCGTCCCTCTGAAGAAGCGAATTCATTTTCCTTTTCTCAATTTCTCCTCTGCTTACACAAACGTTAAGCGATTCTTTAACTCTGGTCTTAAGACTTTCTGTGGGATCCTTTAGTAAAAGTCTGTAAGTTTCTGAGTCATTTAAATGAACCATCATTTTTTTATATAACTTCACCTATCCATGATGACCACTGCACCACCTTTATCTGCCTTTAAAACAAACAGATCATTTTTGTGCAAATATCTAGAAAGCTTATTCAAGTCATAAGATTTCTTTGGGATAATTACCTCATCAAAATGAGGAATCACTTCCCTTTTA